GATTGTTTCGGTTTTTCCTCGAATTTCCAATTTTCATCAGAGCTTTCTAGTGGTCTTCGCTGGTGAATGAGTGGCAACAAATCTCGTCAGTATTCTCCTCAGTTCTCCAGGACTCTCCTCAGTACTCCAGGATTCTCCTCAATATTCTTAGTGATTTTAGTAATGCTCTCATCTAAACGCTTTCGGATCTTGCTCGAATTTCCAATTGCCAACAGATATTTTGTTAGTCTCTGCTGAGTGAACGAGCGAAAAGAGGTTTCATAAAATACTCTAGAACTCACCTCAGAATTGTTTCTGATTTTAGTAATGCTATCATCTGAATGGTTTCCGTTCTTCCTCGGATTTCCAATTCACATTAAAACTTTCTGTTGCTCATGTCTGGAGAAGCAATGAGAGCAAAATGAATAATAACCTAATTGAAGCAATAAAACAAAAATATTAACACAATCCTGTTTGTCAGGCAATTTCTGCGAGCACATCACCCCTTATATTTGACCCCCTAACTCCCTAGACAGTAAACTCCTTCATTTGGGGGTCGCAGTTGAGCGAGAGACCAACAAAACTTCTTGAAAAAACAAAGATGAACTGAAAGCTAGTATTATGGCACCAACTAAACGAGGAGACTGTACAGAAGAGTTCCAGGAGATTCCGAAGTCGTCTGGAGGCCGTGGTTGAAGACAATAGCGATTTTATTGAATAGATTTACGCTTTAGTATTTCAAGATATCTTTGTATAATTTTGGTAAATATATCTTTTAAAATGAAATGCCATTGTTATTTTCATTTTTTTGCATAATTTGGACGTATATTTATTCATCGTATATATATATATATATATATATATATATATATATATATATATATATATATATATGAAGAAATATAGTCTTAAGATCTGCTATATTTAAGGGATAAAGTGCTCAATATCAATTTGATCATGTAAGATTAATTGAACATTGAAGTCAAATTTAGATGTGAGACAGTCTGTTTCAATCGTCAGGTGATAGAAACAGACTGTCGCCTACCGGTTTTGACCCATATATTTTATATATATATTTTTATATATATATATATATATGTGTGTGTAGGCAAGGTAATATATATATATATATATATATATATATATATATATATATATAGTTTAACACTAAAACAAATATTTGTATTTAGAATTTTTTCCTTTTCTTTGAAAAGGAAAAAAGAGGAAAATGAAAAAGAAAAAAACAAAAACATCAAAAGAACAAAAAAAGTATTAATTAAAAGGACGAAGCAAAATAAAAACTAAAAGAAAGAATAAAAGAAAGAAAGAAAGAAAGAATAAAAGAAAGAAAGAAAGAAAAAAAGAAAAAAGAAAGAAAGAATAAAAGAAAAAAAGAAAGAATGAAAGAAAAAAAGAAAGAAAAAAAGAAAGAAAGAATAAAGAAAGAAACAAACAAAAAAAAAACAAAGAAAGAAACAAAGAAAGAAAGAAACGAACACAAGAAAGAACAAAAGAAGTAATGAGGCAAATGGACGAAGCGAGAAAGAAAGAAAGAAAGAAAGAAAGAAAGAAAGAAAGAAAGAAAGAAAGAAAGAGAGAAAAAAAGAGAGAAAGAAACGCATGGAAGAACAAAAAATAGTGCGGTAAATAGACGAAGCGAGTATGAAAAAATGAATGAATTAATGAAAGAAAGCAAGAAATGTCCAGCAAAGAAAGACGAAACAATGAAAGAGTAAATAAAAAGAAAGACAGAATGAATGACAAAAAAAATCAAAGAAAGAACGAATAAAAGATAAACATGAATGGAAGACTGAGCAAAATCTCAAGTCAAATAAAGTTAATGAAGAAAAGAGAAAGAAAGAAAACAGAGAAAGAAAGAGAAATACAGAAATAAAGACAAAACGACATAGAGAAAGAAAGAAGAGTAACAGATAGAAAAAAGAAAGAAAAGAGAAAGAAAGATGAAACGACAGAAGAAAGAGTCTTAACAGATGAAAAAATTTCAAAAAGGAAAGAGAAAGACAAAATGACAGAGAGAAATTAAGAAAAACAGCGAGGAAAAAAAAGAAAGAAAAGAGAGACAAAAAGACATAAAAAAAAACAAATTTGAAGAGAAAGAAAAGCAAAAGCCAGAGAGAAATAGAGAAAGCGAAAGAATAAAAGAGAATGACAGAGACAGAGAGAAAGAAGAACGAAAATAAAGAGAAAGATAGGCAAAAGGCAGAGAGAAAGAAAGAAAAACAGAGAAAAAGAAAAACAGACAAAACGACAGAGAGAAAGAAAAAACGAAAACAGAGCGAAAAAAGAAAGAAAGAAAAGAGAAAGAAAGAGAAAATGACAGAAAGAAAGAGAAAATGACAGAAAGAAAGAAAGAAAGAAAGAAAGAAAGAAAGAAAGAAAGAAAGAAAGAAAGAAAGTTGAAAAATGAGACAAAAAGACAGGGAGAAAACTGAACAGCGTAAAGAGAAAGAAAAGCAAAAGACAGACAGAAAGAAAAGAGAAAGAAATACTTAAAGACAGAGAAAAAAAATTAAAAAAAGACTAAAAGAAAGAGGAAAAGAAAGAACGAATACTGAGAGAGAGAGAGAGAGAGAGAGAGCAAAGAACGAAATTAAAGGAAAACAGAGAAAGAAAAAGAGAGAGAAAGAATGAATAAAAAAAGAAAGACAGAAAGAAAGAAGAAACAAAGTAAACAAAGAAAGACAAAGAAACAGAGTGAAAGAAAAAATCAAAGAGAAGAAAGAAAGTAAGAAAGGAAGAAAAGACAAAAACAGCGAGAATAAAAGAAAGAAGGAATCTAGAAATAAATCTATCTATCTATCTAATAGAAATATAATATATATATAAGAAAAAAAAGAGCAAGCAATAATGAAAAAAAAGGAAAGAAAAATAGAAGAAAAGGGTAAAAAGACAAAACGACAGAGAAAAAGAAGGAAGAAAAGAAAAGAAAAAGAAAAAGTAGGACAAAAAGACGGAGCGAAAAAAAGAAAGAAAGAAATTAAGCAAATGACTACAAAAAAAAAATAACGATCAAAAATAATCTCGTCATATAAAACGAAGAATGAACCAACAATAAACTTATATTGTTTGGGGAAAAATGGTAGAAATATCAAAAAAAAAATGCTATATATATATATATATTTTTTTTTTTAATGCAGTTGTAAAGGATTTATTTAGATTCAATTTGCAGCGAGTGTAAAAGGAGTAAATAGACTGGCGGCAAGTCTTCAACATCAAGGTGACAGAAAATAAATACATTGACGTCGACTTTTTCTTACTAATTTGCATTTGAAGTCGAGTTTGGTTTCTCTTGCCTCCCACGGCGCTGTTAAATATTTTCGGTGTCTGTCAGAATAGTTCATATAGATTTTTAAAATGTATCCGACCGCCAGGAAATTAAATTAAGGTTGATACACTCTCGTTTTTCTCAGAACACACATCTATATATATATATATATATATATATATATCTTATATATATATATATATATATATATATATATATATGTGTGTGTGTGTGTTTGAAGCTATATAGAAAATAGGAAAGAACTGGCTAGGTAATTTTCCAAAAGTTCCTTAGTTTTTTAGTTAATTGGTTTATTTTAAAAAATACTTTTGCTCGATACAAAAGTAGAGAATAAATATAATTATTTATTTAAAATTTGATTCCATCTCGCGACATAAGAGGTTTCATGTTTCAAAAAACAAGAGCTGAAAACTTCAATATAATTATTTGAATTAAATTGAGTTAAAGTATCTGCTGTTCCATCTTCAAGTACTCTTTTTTTGAATAACGTATTTCAGAAATTTTCGTGTTTTAATAATTGAAATCAAAATTTCCATGGTAAGATGGAGGCGAATTGTTTAAATTCTTCAAAGGCGTGTGTTGATTGTTAATAATATATATATATATATCATTATATATATATATATATATATATATTGGGGGGTGTCTAAATTTGAAATTGAAGATGTTTTAGCCTAGTCTGGCTGAAACGTGTAAAAAAAGATTTATTTATTTATTTATTTTATTTCTTTATGAAAGGGATTACATTTAATATAAAAACTGCCGTAACTTTTGTTTTTTGACGATTTCATAAAGAATTTTTTTTTTTTTTAAACTATTTATTCTCCTATTTAGAGATAAATATATATATATATATATAAATATATATATATATATCTATATATATATATATTTGATTTTTATATATATAAATATTATAATTCCCTGACAGAAAATACTTGTATTTAGAAAATTTAATTTTAAATGTATAATTTTTTTTTTAAATGTGTGTGTATTTGATAGTCATAAATTTTCAACCAGTTTTCTCAGAGAGAATTGTGAGTTTCCCGTTGAAAAATCTTTCAAAAATAAAATTCTGGATATACGTAGAAACTAAAGACTTCGCTTAGAATCTCTCTTTTCTGATATTTTCAGAATGTTATTGAATGATTATGGGATGTCTGTATTTGGTTAATCCTAAAATAAACAATGCGAATAGTGATAACGGGAATCAGAGAGAAATAGCCGATACTAAGCATTATTTCTTCTGTTCACCGCTATGGCATTTGGTCAACTGTCATGTTATATAATAATATAGCCTATAAAATAATTTTCAAAATTTCATGACCGTTTATCACACGGAAAAAATGTAAGATATTACTACTGTCTTTTGTGTAAAAATTGATTCCCGGAAATCTATCATTCTCCATGAATTATCGTAGGATGATTTCTGTCCAAGAGTTGAATATCCCGAATACAATATTCCTAAGCAGGATAGCCGCAGGAGGTGTGAACTGGATTTATCACAATGTTTTTTTCAATCATTTCACCCAATAAGCCAATAAGACTTATTGTGAAAGAATATAGAAAGAAAAGAAGAAAAAACATTATTAAGGAGAGCCACTAATTAGGAACACCAAATTAACAAGGCAGAAAATAACGATTGACATTGCATTTAAATATTTCACCCAATACAATGATCAGGAGTACCAAGGAAGAAAACTAATATGTGAGCATGAAGTCAAGTTATTGGGGCTATACAGGTAAGAGAACCACGATCTCTAGACTTGAAGAAATCAAGATTTAATTCCTGAATAACTTTCCAGAGTTCAGTCGGAGATTTCAGAAGTATAGGGTGACCCTAAAAGACAGGAACTATAAAAAAAAACCCAATAAAACCAAGAGTGATGGAAGAAAAATATTTTATTCAGTAATTGAAACCTTAAAACATGCCATTTAATAAACAATGATGGAATTTTCATTTTTTTTTAAATTACGTCTTGTAAATGGCGCCTTCCTGTACGAATGCATTCTTGAAATCTGCTGTTGAGATTCCTCATCGACTGCTGCAACATCTCAGCTGGGATACTGTGAATTTCATCTTGAATTCTAAATGGCGAAATGTTTACTTGCTCAAGGTCACTGTCTCGCAGTGTTACCACTTGCTCATGTCTGGCAATACGCACTTCAAAATTCCCGTTTTTGGGGGTCACCCTGTATAATATGAAAATAGACGTTAGACCAGTGGTTTCCCAATTGGTTTTAGGCCATGTCACATTTTGTTTTTTCTAAAATTCTGGTAAAATCAACTGTAATATTTAATTCTTACATATTCAAAAATTTACTCCAGTTCACGTGAAAGAAGCTTAAAAACAAGCCTCCTAAGACCATGGCACTCGTAAAAGAAAAAATGAAATAAAAAAAAGCACACAAAGAGACAGTTAAATATTTATAGTTTCAAAACGTATAATAGAGAACTGAAATGCAAAAATATAAAATATTGGAATAAAAGTTTATTCTGCAATATACATTGTTCATTTTAATCATGAAATAATAATTAAAAATTAAATTTGAGCTCACGTTAGTATAGTAAGACGAAGGGTGCACATTCTACGCACGCCCCACCAAAATATTACCAGCTTTGGGAATCTTTGCGTTAGACGGAACCGAAAACCAAATTCTAAACAGGAAACAAGAAATAAGCCTCTACACGTATTCCAAAGATTAGGGAGGAACGTGACCCGGACGATAGACGTTCCTATTTACTACTATTGGAAGAGGAGAAAAATTGTGAATAAAATTTCAGAATTCAGAGGGAGACATTAGAAGTATAGAGTTGAAATAGACATTAGAAGGAACCGGAAATCCAATCCTAAACAGGAACCAAGAGATAAAATTCTATTGTTGTTCAATAAACCGAGAATGGAGCGTGAGCTGAACGAGAGGTAAACCTATCTACTCCAATTTGCGGAGGACAGAAAATAAAATAATTAGTGAATGATATTTCAGTGTTCAGGCGGAGACCTTGGAAGTATAGAGTTCAAGGAGATTTTAGAGCGTTTTCAAAACTCACCGCAAGGCCTTTTCAAGTTAGATGACATTTGAAGGATTTCATTTGGCAACATGACAACACTAGACTACACTTTCTGAACAAATGCAGCAGATAAAGGAACTTGATGATGATTAGATCACGGTTTAAAGTACATCACATTTAGGTTGCTAGCAACATCTATAAAGCCGCTTATGATATCATAGATCCTAAGCCTGTGTGGGCATTAATTATTAAATATCTTTAAAATACCCTTTCCTAAGCGGAAAGATATTTAATTTTAAATATTTTTAGTTTTTATCAGTATCGCTCTAAAAATTTGTCCACATTTTTCCAGGATATTCTGTATAATTCTTTGAAAGCAAAGATTGTTGAACAAAGGTAGAATATAATGTCATTGTATGCAATATTGATTTATATCATTCAGACTAAAGCAACAATAACAAGATGGAGAAAAACTATTACAACATTTACATATATTACAACAGAAATATAACACAAAGAAGTAGAAGTATTTGTAATGACTATCAGATTTGGTTAGAGTGAACTATGTTGTCTCGACAAGTAGCACTAGTCCAATGTCCTTACAATATGCTCTCAATCTTCTCATACCATTTGAGAGGCGCAGTATTTATAATGTCAGGAATAGTGCATTATTATTATGGGTAAGTTTCCATAACATCTATCTATCTATCTATCTATCTATCTGTCTATCTATCTATCTATCTATCTATGTATGGGCTTGTGTCTGAGGTGTTATCTGGAAAGTAGAGAACGTGTTGACTTGGAAGACAGAAATTATTGCAAAGTTTCTTAATAATTGTTATGGTCCGCATTCCTTGTACCACGGTGATGGTCCAAGGTTAGAACCAATGAAAGAATAACACAAACACAGGTATGGAATACAAAGATATATTACAACAGAAATATAATACAAAGAAGTAGTAGTATTAGTAATGACTATCAGATTTGGTTAGAGTGAACTATGTTGTCTCGACAAGTATCACTATTCCAATGTCCTTACAATATGCTCTCAATTATCTCTCCTCGTCTTACAACCTCCTCATACCTCTTGAGAGGCGCAGTATTTATAATGTCAGGAATAGTCCATTATTATTATTGGTAAGTTCCCATAACAGAAATAATAATAATGAAATTTATCTAAGAAGCAACAATTATAAGATGGGGAAATAATAATAATAATAATAATAATAATAATAATAATGAGATACAAAAAATTGTTCTGACAAGTACAGCCCACACTTTACGAAGGGCTTTATCTAAGTAATATATTTTTTTTTTGTTAGTGGAGAGTATCATGATGCCATTTCTAACCTTAGATGTCTGGGCGGGACCCGGAAAGAAATGTATAAACGCCAGAAATCAAAGAAAATAATAATAATAATAATAATAATAATAATAATAATAATACATTGGTGAAAATGTTTCATCTAAAAAGTAAAAAATAATAAGGTTGGGTAAAACTAGTAATAAAATAATAATAGTGAAGTGCTTCATCCAAAAAGCAACAATAATTAGATGGAGTAAAACTATTAAGAAAATAATAATAATAAAATGCCTCATCGAGAAAACAACACTAATAAAATAGAATCAAACCAATATTATAATAATAATAGTGAGATAGCTTCATTTTAAAGCCAACAATAATAAGATGGAGTAAAACTATTAATGAAAGAATCATAGCGAAAAAGCAACAATAATAAGATGAGTAAAACTGTAATAAAATAATATAAAAATGCTTCTTCTAAAAAGCAATGATGGAGTCAAAAGCAATACAATGAAGTAAAATTATTATAATAATGATAACAGTTTAACTGAAACATTTAAAAAGGCAACAATAATATGGAATAATACTAGTAATAAAATAATTATTGTGAAAAGGTTCCATCTAAAGAGCAACAATAATAAAATGGATTAAAACTAATAATAGGAACCTGATTCAACTAAAAATCAACAATCATAGGATCGATAAAATCTAGCAGGAATAAAATTGTTAATCTAAAATTAAACTTAATGCTATAAAGAAAATAATAGTAATAATAATTATTATTATTATTTTCTTTAGATTTATTATTGTAATCAATCTTTGAAGTTCCCCCCAAAAAACTATCTAGATACAAGGATCTTGAAAGGGAAATCTCACACATGTAGTTGGAGCCCTTGGATTGATTGGAAAAGGGTCCGATAGACTCATTGAAGGGATTTCTTGATAGTCCATGCCTTAAAGAAATAAAACAAATTTTATTTAAAAGTACAGCACACTCATTCCGAAGAGATTTATCTATGTAAAATATGTGTGATCTAAGATTATTTTTTTTTTTTTTAAAAAGATTCATCAGTGTAAAATTTTTCACTCGCCATTTGCTTTTTATCTTTTCTTTTTTCTTTCTTTTCTTTCTTTATTTCTTTAAATGGCGATCTTGTGATTAATTTTTGCAATTTTCTCAGTATTTGATTTCTTCACATTCTTTTCTTTCATCCTTAACCTCCTCATATGATGTTCATATATTTTCACTATTTCTCTTCTTTCTTTCTTTCTTTCTTTCTTTCTTTCTTTCTTTCTTTCTTTCTTTCTCGTTACTTTTTGATCATTTCTTTCTCTCACTCATCTTTCTTTCTTTTCTTCTATTTCTCATTTAGTTTTACTCACTTCATCTCTCTCCCTTATTTCTTTCTCTTGTTTCTATTTCTTACCTTTACCTTACTTTTTACTAATTTCTTTCTCTTTATTTCTTTCTTTCTTTCTCGTTACTTTTTGATATTTCTTTCTTTCTCTCTCTTTCTTTTTCTTTCTTTCTTTCTTTCTCTCTTTCTTTCTCGTTACTTTTTAATCATTTCTTTCTCTCACTCTTCTTTCTTTCTTTCTTTCTTTCTTTTCTTCTATTTCTCATTTAGTTTTACTCACTTCATCTCTCTCCCTTATTTCTTTCTTTTGTTTCTATGTTTCTTAGCTTTACTTTTTACTTAATCAAGTCATATACATACATACAGAATAAAAAATAAAGGCAAAATGAAAAACAAAATTCGTGCGCAAGATTGTCTGTATAAATTGCATATATAACTATTTTAGTGGTTGTACTACTACTACTACTAATAATCATAATAATAATAAATATCAAATACAAGGAGGTTGAAATGGAAATCTCACCCATGTGGCACATGAAGACATCAATAATTCCAGTTGTAATTGGAGCCCTCGGATTGATTGGAAAAGGGTCCGATAGACTAGTTGAACAGATTCCTGGAAGCCCATGCCTTAAAGAAATACAAAAAAAATTTGCTCCACCTAAACAATTTATAAATGTTAACTGTGTTCAACGCAAGAATAACTGGAAAAAAAAAAAGAAAGATGGGTGATTGTGTTCCGCCTGTTTTCCATCTGTAAAATATTTGTTTACCTTGAAATCAGCATTCAATAATTTTAGTTGAACCCCAAAAATCAAGCACTGACGCCAAGAACAAAATACACTTTTATTTCATCTTACCGCTTTTTAAATTTCAGTCCCAGATAAAAGAAATGGAAGAAAATTAAGAGGAACGATTGATCGGCTCAGGCAGGGAGAAAAGAAATTTCTATTCTGAAATCTTACCAGCATCCTCACTTGTTATCTTCCAATCTGTGAAGAGAGCGTCTCAACTACCAGTCAAAGATACAAGTCTCTCCGATGATAGATTGTTTCAAAAAATATCGTCTTCCATTAAGAACGAAGACGTTAACAAATATTGCCGATATATCAAAATTCTTTTGGTAAACAATTGTCTTCAACACGTGAGTAATTTTTGTTTTATTATCTATGATTGGGTCGATGTGGTGATGTGGAGTATGATGTTGAAAGACCCGAAACCCCCTGATGAACAAAGTCAAAAACATCACTGACGACCCCCTCGGGCGCCTACTTAAAAGCGTATTTGTGAATTATGCTGACTGAAAAGAAAAAAAAGCATAGACGCAAATATATTTCTTTACGGAAGGTGTATTTGAAATTTTCAATCTATCCTAAAAATGACGTCGATGAATCTCGACTCCTCTTCTGTGCAAATAACGAAGATAAAAGAAACGACAGACAGTTGATTACGTGAAGCCTCGGCTTGGTTTAATATTTAGTAATCACGTCTCTATTGACCGTTAGTAATCATGTCAGTCCACACGTTGTGTTTTTGATCTAATCTGACTACGGACAAAAAAAAACAGTCTAACCTGCTATTTAAGCCATTGGGACCATGAGTACTTGTTACGGTTTTGAATTCAGGGTTGTCCATCTCCTAGACTGAGTGCCAACCACGGCTAAATAGCCCAGTCTAAACTGCTATTTAAGCCACTCTGTGAATGAGCACTTGTTACCGTTTTGAATTCAGAGTTGTCCATCTCCTAGACAGTTTGTCAGCTACGGCTAATGAATCCAGCCTGACCTGCTTTTTAAGCCACTGTGTCCATGAGCAGTTGTTTTTGAATTCTTAGTTGACCATATCCTACACAGGTTACCACTCACACCTACAGAGTTCAGTCAGACCTGCTATTCAAGCTATGGATACCACTGACAATTACTACGATTTTGAATTCAGAGTTGTCCATATCCTAGACAGTTTACCAATCACGTGTAGAGAGCTCAATCAGATCTGCTCTTCCAGACATAGGGACCACGGACAATTACTACAGTTTTGAATTCCGAGTTGTCCTTCTCTTAGGCAGGTTGCCAAAGAGAGAACCCAGCCTGCCAAGCGAGCGTAACGAACACGACAGGAATTCGAAATCGACTCTCAATGTTTTATCTACACATCCTATAGTCCTTGATTCGCATCGGGAAAAACATGACATCGATTGATCTCGACTCCTCTTCCGAGCAAATAACGAGGAGAAAAGAAACGACAGGCAGTTGATTACGTGAAGAGTCGGCTTAGTTTAATATTTAGTAAGCCCGTCTCTATTGACCGTTAGTAATCATCTCAATCCGCACGTTGTGTTTTTTATCTAATCTGACTACCGACAAAAAAGGGCAGCCGGCTTTTTGCAATCATTTTACTCCAAGCAAATTGAAAATGCCACTAGTATGCAAGGGGGGGTTACATGGAATGGAAGTGAGATAAGATACTGGGTATAGGAATAATTGAAGAAAAAAAAACAAAAGATGAATGGGATTCAAGAAGGTAGAAGATGGTGATTGACGTTGCATTTAATTTTTTTAAGATTGTAGTTATCAGGGAAGCAAGTAAACGGATGGGTGTTCCACAGGCGGGAAGTGCGGGAAAAGAAACTGTTGGAGTAGAAATAGCGTTTGCATTTAACTATTTTAACAGTAAACGAATGAGAGGGACCTAAATGCCAATCTAGTATCCCGTTTAATTTCATGTCGTCGAGGCACTAGGAAGAAAAGCTTGTCAGAACATTTGGCACGAAAATATTCGTAGAAAAGGCAGAGGGAAGCCATGCTACGTCGTTGAGAAAGTGACGGAAGTCGAGATGTCAGGCCAGGATTACAAAACGTGAAAGTGAAGTCTGAGAATAGAGAGGATTGAAGAAAGAACACAAGATGAACGGGATTCAAGAAGGTAGAAGATGGTGATTAACATTGCATTTAAATTTTTGAAGGTTTTAGCTATCAGGGAAGCAAGTAAAATGGGGCGAATTCCAGAGGTGGTAATCCGAGAAGAAGAAAAAAAACTTGTTGAAGTAGAAGTGGCGGTTTGAAAGGATTAATGCTGACCACTGGATTAAAAGATTATGTTGAAATACATTATTCATTGCGCAAAACCAACACATGGTCATTATCTCGTTACGGATTTCTTCGACTAACAGTACAAAAGATATGCTCAACAATACAATGCATAAAATCTAAGGACGGAATGTTGATGATATAATGGAATATGCATACACCTGTGTTCTCCCTCACTGGAATAGGATTGGCTGGTGTCCGTCATAAATACAGACGGACGTGTAAGTACGACAGAGTTTAAGTCTATGCAGGACTATCCACACTTTTTGAAGGGCCGAATACTGAGACCTGGTGCACTAAGTGCCACAAGGTCCTCAAACGACCCTCCGCATGTTTTGAATTCCGAGTTTTCCTTCTCCTAGACCAGTTGCCATCAATGGCTATATAGAACCCAGTCTGTCCTGCTATTTACCCATAGCTGGAGGGAGAAGAAGATACACATCTTTCCCAAGGATATTTGCAAGTAAGTGAATGTAATGGATCTGACTGGAATTCGAACTCTGCTCTCCGATCCCTCAATCCAAGCCGCTACCCATTACTCCACCGTGTCTGGCTGTCTATCTCTCTCTCTCTCTCTCTCTCTCTCTCTCTCTCTATATATATATATATATATATATATATATATATATATATATATATATATATATATATATATATATATAGAGAGAGAGAGAGAGAGAGAAATAATAATATTAGTGGTAAATATACATACATATGCAAAATATATAGATATATATACATAGGTGCATACACATACATGTATATTTTTTTTTGAATAAATAATTCCGAGAGGATAGAATCCAGGTAGACCATGGAATATTAGTGTTTAAGACTTTTTATTATATATATATATATATATATATATATATATATATATATATATATATCAGGAAAGAAAGAGATAGTGGGTAAGAGTGTTTATACACACACACAATGCGCGCACTTCCGCACACGTTCACAGGAATACACACAAACATGCAGGGTAATGTATAAAGTGCGCCTACACACACATTTTACAAAATATTACCTCGTAGCTCGCATTCAACCTTTGCTTCTAACTGATCGCAATTCCGGTCCCTGGTTCATCGAAGCGAACAAAGCGAAGAGAGTGAGAGAGAGAGAAGAAAAAAACACCGAGACGGATAAAGAGAGACAGACAGAGAGAGATTCGGGTAGCTGTTCGCGTAGAATAATAACGCTGGAAAGATGTCCCCGTCGCGTTGTTATTAATGGCTTCGGGTCTTACCCGGAACGAATGTCCCATGTTTTCATTTTGCGGAAGAGAAACGCGTCGAGGGAAGAAAACAGGGGATCTTTAATAAATATAGAGAAGGTCAATGGTAGTGATTTCTGATAGCGAAATTGGACAGTATTCAGTCGGGAATAGAGTTGTTGTTGTCGGTGTTTTACTGGTAACCATCGTGAGTGTCGTGAGGTGAAGGTGTTAACTTCGATGTTGACGATTTCAAGGAAAGAATGGTAAGCTTATTCATGTTACTGTGAATGTTGGACTGGTGACTTGTGTGATTTCGAGAACAGAATCCTAGAAAAATCGGTCTTTCGTTGATTGCAATCAAACGTATACAGTACTACGTTTATATACTGGGTGTGAAAACAAAATTGTCCGAATCGTATAACAAGAAAATTGCCCATCCCACAAAATGTTGAATACATAAAAAACACTAAAACAATATTATCAGCTATACGTTTCTGAAGAAAATAATATTACCAGCTATACTTTTTTGAGAAAAAAATATTAGCAGGAATGGATTTTTGACAAAACAAAAATATTACCAGGAAAAAAACAAAGTTGTCGGCATTAAATGACCCATTGAGTTATTGATATGCCGTAAAACAAAACAAACCAAACCTACGATCGATCCACTCCTCGGCTAGAACCAGAATGGATTTAAAAGAGGCAGATCGGCAACTGCTCAAATCCTAAAAATGTTCTTAAAATAAGCATAGTCGCAGACATATTTCTTTACGAAAGGTAGATTTGAAATTTTCTATGTATAATCTTAAAAACGATGTCGATGGACCTCGACTCCTCTTCAGAGCAAAATTGTCCAAATCGGGTAACCACAAAATTGCCCATCCCACAAAAACATTTAAAACGCTAAAATAATTTTCTTTTTTTTCAAGTTTTCAGTTGAGACGTTTCGCCATCTTGATATTCTTCT